ATGATGATGAATGATGTCATGATGATGGAATATGATGATATAGAACAATGACTGACACAATGAGTACCAGACACTGTGAACTGACACTTCACACTGAAGAGATACTGATAACCTCTCATCAATATACCTTATGGAAATAAAGTATTATTATTATTATTATTATTATTATTATTAATACGTACTGGTGCAGCCAATCTGATATCAGTAGAAGGTATTGCTTGACTAAACTGGAAACAAAAGAATATGTTCATCAGACACACATGTACAGTACATAAGGACATTATGGTGGGTTCATTTTAATGATAATAATTGTTACATTAATCATACAAGTACAAGTAATTGTACATGTACAGTATAGTATGGACATGAGATGGTCACTAAAACTAGCAATGGGAACAAAACTGAGAATTTGATCTTTTAACAGTTCATATACCAACCAGTCTTCCCATATCAACACCACCATCATACATTATTGGGGCGAGCCTGAGCGAGCCCCACATAAACGAGACGAGTATGTCTTTATGTATGTATGTATGTACACGTACGTCACTCCTATTTATGCGTAATACGGTAGATGCTATGCATTGAAAAGAGTATATAAATTCAGTTTTCAATATTTCATTAAAAGTGGGAGTGGCCACAATGAAATAAAATGGAGACCAACACACAGGGAAAAGTCATGAGCTTTCTAGCAGCAAAATAAGACAGAAATTCTGTCCAAAGGCTTCTCCAACAGCCAGGCAAGGTTATAGATGCAATAAAGTAGCTATGAAACTTGTTTTTGCTGATAACTCGACTTACTGTACTCGCATACCACTGTCCAAAGCAACGGCAAGGAATGTCAAGAAAGCAGATATGCCATCTTTATTGATGTGAATGACTTTGAATGTCTGTCACAGCCTGAATTAACTTGGACTACATTGCTACAGTTGCCTATCTAGCCATATCATTTGTGTAGTGACTGTTTCTAGCTATCTTTAATGCTTTCCAAATGCTAAACTTGATTTGGTCAAGAACTACACTGCACTCAATCAAGTTCTGAGCTGCTTAAGTTGCACTGTCATGAGTATTGTTAGTCTGTCAATATCTATTGTATGTACATTGCTTTACTTGCTTAGGCTCGCTCCTTCAATGTTTTACATTCATCTAGTTATTATTATTATTATTATTTTATTATTATTATTAATTTATTATTACTTTAAAGGTATGAACTGTGCTCTTGATATGTAGCTTGATAAGTAGCAGGAAAGGACTTGTCTTAATAAACCTAATAACTATTAATAACTATTAATAACTACTGGATAACTAACCTGGTGAATGGACATTCTGAAACTAAAATAAATAAATAAATAAATGAATAAAAATACAAGTCAAAATTAATAAACTTACATTTTCCCATAACTGTGCTAGAAAGTATTCAGAAAAACTCTACACAAAAACAGAAAAAGTTCCTGTACTATAGTACATGGTCATTGACTAAATATCATTAAAAATGAAGAGGTGAGAATTCTCCATTTTTATTACATTTTCTGATACATATACATGTACTTATGTTGCATAAAAATTTTGAACCAATTCCGATCAAAATTGGATTTTTTGCGAATTTTTTAAGTTTCTTAAAAACTGGACAAAAGCCCCTGTACTATAGTACAGGGGGTTCGGTCAAATTTTGCCAAAAATGAAAAGGTGAGAATTCCTCAATTTTATTACATTTTCTGATGCATTCTTTGTCTGACTGACTAACTTTGTCAAAACTTGTCATTTTAAATATTAAAAATTGAACATAAGATGACTTGTGAGTTAAACAGATTTGATTAAAAAATACCTATCAATGTAAGGTAATGATATTCATAGTCTCAAGGGCACACCCACTTTAATAAAGGACTGAAATAAACTGCAAGCAGAATCAAGTGACAGTTGATCTAAAAAACATAATAATTAATTAATTAATTAAATGTAAAATATACTTAAGACTGTTTTTTACTACCCTGATTTAAAAAAATACCTAATACCCAAGGCTATAGCCCATGTTTTTTCCCCAAAAAATGGCTCCAAAATTGCCCAAATTTTTATTACATTTTCTGATACATATTGATGTCCTTATGCTGTGTAGAAAGTTTGAGCTGATTCCGACTTTAATTTTTCAAGTTACAGCCATTTTAAGAAAATGTCGAAACTCTGAAAAATACCCAAGGCTAGCCCATGGTTGTTTTCCAAAAAATGGCTCCAAAATCACCCCAAATTTTTATTACATTTTCTGATACATATTGATGTCCTTATGCTGTGTAGAAAGTTTGAGCTAATTCCGACTCCAATTTTTCAAGTTACAGCCATTTAAAAAAAACGGCAAGATTCTGAAAAATACCCAAGGCTATAGTCCATGGTTTTTTCCAAAAAATGGCTCCGAAATCACCCCAAATTTTTATTACATTTTCTGATACATATTGATGTCCTTATGCTGTGTAGAAAGTTTGAGTTGATTCAAACTTCAATTTTTTTAGTTACGGCCATTTTAAGAAAACGTCAAAATTCTAAAAAATACCCAAGGCTATAGTCCATGGTTTTTACCAAAAAAATGGCTCCGAAATCACCCCAAACTTTTATTCCATTAGAGGGGGACCCGTTCCCTCACCTCCTTCATAACTCAGTTCATTAATGAACTCAAAGAGGACATTCATTGTCACATCAATACTGTCAGCCATCTTGTCCTCCATGTTGTCATGGAAACAGAAACGAGGAGATAAACAACCTTTTTCCTCCTCCGCCTAAAAATTTCCAAAAATTGCTAAAAAATTTCTACTCGAAAATATCCAATAATAGTTACCATAGCAACATCGTCTGTGTTGAATTGTAAAGTTTCTTCTTCATGTTCCAGTACTGATACTTCAACCTGCACGGACACACGCACGCACAAATTATAACATTTAATAACTATTAATTAACTAACGTCTATCTGGAGCATCTTTAATATAACGAGGTGAAGTAATTCATTAAAAATATTTGAATAATATCTTGAAATGTGTAAACAACATCTGACAAACACTTCCTAATAATAATAACAATTAATTAATTAATTGATTAATTAATATTTCTAATTATTACATTTGTGTCTTACTTGAAAACTGGATGACTTCATTTTGTACGGACTGAGCAGTTCTATTGATTTTAATAAATTATCGGAAACTCTAAAAACAATACAAAATTAAGCTCAAAATGATAATAATAATAATAATAATTAGATTATAATAATTATTGTTTATTTATTAACGTCAATTACTTTGGAGTTGTAGTCAATTGAAGTTCAATTGCTCTATGAATATTAATGTATACTGATTCACTTTCATGATCTATGAATAATTAATTAATTAATATAAGCCACACCCACTCACCAGGTAATAAAGCTGCTTTAATTAATGATGTTAATACATTATTAATGAAACTGACATGAAACGAGGTCAAATCAAGCAAGTAATTAATATATGTATCAATAAGAACTGAATCAGGACTGGAATACCAGGAGAAACTCTAATAATAATAATAATAATAATAATAATAACTTAATAATTAATTCATTACCAGAATCGATTTAATTATTAATTCATCGTCAACGATTGTCACGTATTTCTTGAAAATGATCAGCCACTTCAGCATAACTGCAGACTAAAGGAGAAAACAATAACCACACCCCTTTAATTAAAAACCACACCCACTAACATACGGTCATATTTTTATTCTTCAGTTGTGACACAATCCAGTTATAATTCCCATCCTCTCCCTACAATAAACACAATTTATAAATTATTAATTCATTCTCTTCTTCAACACATGTACATGTATAAAGTACATGGGAGGCTGTAGCTATTCAAAATTTGACACAAGGTCACATTTAAATTTATAAAATTCACTTTTTTCTTTTTGTTGAGACTCTCCAGTAGATACTGTCCAATCACTACGTGTTCTCTCACCTCCTCTCTACCTTCTTCAATACTCATTGTGTCATTTGTGTGATATGGAGCCACGTGGGGTCACGTGACGTATTGGGTGTGGTCCTATGATATTTAATTAGTTAATTAATATTCATAGCAGACCACGTGGAAGCACGTGTGACACCTTACTTATTAGTTATTCATGAATCGATAGTCATTTCATTAATATTCATGATTATAGGGTCACATGATGATTGCCCAATCTAACAAATAGTTGCTTGGCAACAATGTGACGTCAGGCAGGGACAGAACAAGAGGGGAGGAACAGGAGAAGGCAGCCATTGCATCTCTTCTCAGGTTTTACCTTTTTCTCTCTCTCTCTCTTTCTTTCTCTCAGTAGGTTTGCTGGAGTGTGTAGTACTAACTGTTGGAGAGAGAGAGAGGTTACTGTGTCCTGTATGTACAAGCTTGTAACATTCTTTATGTAGGGAGGAGCCATGACTTGTTACTGTCTGGAGTACAGGATAATTAATGAGATAAGTTAATGCACACACACAGTGTTCTTGTATATGAGTGTGTGATGAATAATGGAGGGAATAGTTTATCTAAGTGTCAGTTGGTAAAGACAATGAGCAAAGCAAGAGTGAGAAATACATGTAATGGGGAAAAACGAGTGGTTTTGCTCTTTGCCTTTCCACTGGTATTTTGTTAACATTCTCACTTTATTCTATCACACATTCCACATGTTGTTTATTATTATTATTATTATTTTATGGGGTTATTGTTTATTAATTTTATTTTATTTATTAATTTATTTATCATCACCATTATTATTATTATTATTATTATTGTTATTATCATGACGAGTAAATTCATATCTTTTGTATTATTTTCAGGTTGATGTTCATTACTGTATTCAATGGATCAAAGACAGTTCTCTGTTGGTTAATACACACACTATCATGTACATGTACATCCTTATCTAACATACATTCTATTTTCCTTCTTTAAGCTGGCCCATGCAAGCAAGCCTTCTTCAACACCATCAAGTCCAAGTCTTCAGTGTATGGTAACAATGTATCTATTGCATGTTATTAATAACCTTGATTACAGTGCTAATAGTAAAGGGCTCATTGTATACTGTTATCCACCCAGTTCATGTAATAAAGCACTGTCCCATTGATCTTTACTTATTCTATTGTTTAAACATTTTTCTCTTTTCTATTTCTACAGGGATCAAGTTTAAAGTTGGTTGAGTGTGAGGTAGCATGAGAGTTAATAATGTATAATTACGCATGTTTATAATGTATTTTATGCATGTACAATATAATCCACACATGTCCTTCCACCCCCCCCCCAACCTCTAGTAGGTCTGACTGTTCTGGACTGGACTGGACTCGGGATCAAGTTTAAAGTTGGTTGAGTGTGAGGTAGAGTGAGAGTTAATAATGTATAATTATGCATGTTTATAATGTATTTTATGCATGTACAATATAATCCACACACTGATGTCCTTCCAACCCCCCCCACCTCTAGTAGGTCTGACTGTTCTGGACTGGACTGGACTCAGGATCAAGTTTAAAGTTGGTTGAGTGTGAGGTAGAGTGAGAGTTAATAATGTATAATTATGCATGTTTATAATGTATTTTATGCATGTACAATATAATCCACACACTGATGTCCTTCCAACCCCCCCCCACCTCTAGTAGGTCTGACTGTTCTGGACTGGACTGGACTCGGGATCAAGTTTAAAGTTGGTTGAGTGTGAGGTAGAGTGAGAGTTAATAATGTATAATTATGCATGTTTATAATGTATTTTATGCATGTACAATATAATCCACACACTGATGTCCTTCCAACCCCCCCCACCTCTAGTAGGTCTGACTGTTCTGGACTGGACTGGACTCAGGATCAAGTTTAAAGTTGGTTGAGTGTGAGGTAGAGTGAGAGTTAATAATGTATAATTATGCATGTTTATAATGTATTTTATGCATGTACAATATAATCCACACATGTTCTTCCACCCACCCCCACCCCCTCTAGTAGGTCTGACTGTTCTGGACTGGACCCTGGTAAGGATTGATTGCATGTTCTCCGTTGTTACATGTAATGGGGTGGATAATAGTATACAATGAGCCAATGGTTTTAATTGATTTTAAAATTTAATTTCAATTTAAAATTTAAAAATAATTTGAAATTTAAAACTGAGTAGGCGGGGCAGTGGAGCTATAACCACACCTCTTAAGGTAGGCGTGTCATAGAATCCGGAGTTTAGTATACCCTCAAATTAATCCGTATACTATCAGGATACTATATCCAATTAAAGAGGGTGTGGCCTAGGACTAAAGATGGCCTCCCTGTGCTGTAGATGCTACAGTGAGTGATAGAGGATGACTAGTGAGGTATTGTGTCTATTTTTAGGTTTTATAAGAAGCGGGAAGCTGCCAAATCCTTACTTTGTAAATAAGAGATTAATATCAGCTTTAATCAGGAACAAAAAGTAATTCATAACTCTTAAATAATAATATAGTGTCATTATTTATTACTAGAGCTCACAATAATAATTATTTAACAAGGCTTGCTAGCACAGGAGGTAAATTTAATATTTTTAATTTTAATTTTATGATTACCAGAACTTGTTTTTGGGGAGACATACTGGGGCGTTCGATTTTTAATTATTTATTAATGTATCGTCTTCTAGGCTCTACAGGAAATAATAATAATAATAGTAATAATAATAATAATAATAATAAAGATACGTATAATGGATTTTACTGGAGGAATACGTTCATTACTGGACAAAGAGCAATGACAGACTACCTACTGGAGATAGAGTGAGCCATTAATATCATAATATCAAATTAAAATTAAATTAAAAGAGGAATACAACCAAGTCAATGTACATGTGTCTAGATACAGTAGATCTTAATGTAGTGGCACTATAGACTAACCTGCACTACATTGTGTGTGTATCAACACTCATGAATGATTGTACCTTACTAATACTCTGCTGTACTGTACAGTTGCTATAGTGTACAATAAGATGATGATCCATTGGTACAGTTAGTAGTTCAGTTATTGTATTTCCACTTGGTTCTCCTCCTCAGGGATTTAGAAGGTTTGTCTCAAAGGACCTTTAGAAATGCCGACGAGAGTGGGCCCCAGCTGGTCAACTGCTACTTAAAATCTGACGTGGAAAAAAGGTAACATGAAATTTGATTTTTAAATGACTAAGACTTTGACCTTGATATTTCTCTCCTCCCCTCTCTCCTTATTAGGGCGCTTGAGGTCTGGGGTAGTTGGGGTCTCCTTGAGAAGGCTCTTGACATTAGACGAAGACAAGCTAAAGAGGAGGACAGGAGAAGAGAAGGTTATTAATTAATAGTTTATTAATTAATTGATTGATGGTTTAATTAGGATTAAATGCATTAATTGCGCTACTAAAGAAAGTCAAGAAAGAATCGACAAGAAAACACGTGGAGACTGAAGTGGGACAATTAAATATTTATTTATTTATTTATTTATTTTATTAATAGGTGTATGGTGATCCACAGAAGAGGGTGGAGCTACTTCAAGGATCAGCAAGAGTTGTATTTTATGCCATCGCAAGGTACGTGTAATTAATAATAATAATAATAATAATAATAATAATAATAATAATATTATTATTATTATTTGTCTTTCAGTAATACTGTGGTGATGATTATTAAACTATTGTCATATCTATATACTGGATCAGCATCAATGCTCTCTGAAGCAATCCACTCACTGGTTGATGTCCTTAATCAAGTAACCATTTATTTATTTTATTTATTTATTTATTTATTTATTTATTTATTTATTTATAGTGTTTATTAGCTTTTGGTATCACTCAGTCCATCAGAAAGCCAGACCTGTCCCACCCGTAAGAAACTCATAATTCCATTCCCATACTTCATATTTTCATTCTGGTACAGGTATGGATTCTCTCGTGCGAGATATGTCTACTCACTGATCAGTGGCATTGGTATATTCTTCCTTGGATGTGGTGTCACTGTCTATCACGGGATCAACAGCATCATGTACCCGCCCATTCTGTCTCATCTACCAGCTGTATGCCCATTAATTAATTTATTTATTTATTTATTTATTTGTTTGTTTGTTTGTTTGTTTGTTTGTTTGTTTAGGCCTTTGTGGTACTTGCTGGTTCATTGCTTGTTGAAGGAGGTATGACTTCTCCCACCTCCCCCCCTCTCTCTCTCTCTCTCTCTCCTTTCTCTCCCTCTCTCTCCCTCTCTCCTCTCTCTCCCTCTCTCCTCTCTCTCCCTCTCTCCCTCTCTCTCTCTCTCCCCTCTCTCTCTACTTCACTAGCATTAGTATACATGTACTTATGTTGTTATAATGTTTCTCTTTTCTCTTGTTCCTAGCTACACTGATAGCAGCCATTAGACAGGTACAGATCAGTGCAGCTGAAACTAAAATGAGCTTCAAAGACTTTGGTATGAAATTATCTGTACATTATTATTATTATTATTATTGTTGTTGTTATTATTGTTGTTATTATTATTGTTGTTGTTGTTGTTGTTGTTGTTGTTATTACAGTATTACGAGGAAGGGACCCTACTACAGTCTCAGTCCTGCTGGAGGACAGTGTGGCGGTGGGTGGGGTCCTCATAGCAGCTGCCTGCCTCTGGTTGACCCACTCCACTGGCAATGCTCTCTATGACTCTATAGGATCTCTCTCTATTGGAGGTGTGGCTTAGTAATTAATTGAGGGGTGTGGTTTATTAATTAATAAGGAACATTATTACCATTATTATTTATTAGGATTGTTAGGATTGGCAGCATTGTTTCTGATACAGAGGAATACCAGTGCTTTAGTTGGAAGGTGATTTATTTATTTATTTTATGAACGGGTTTTTGCTTGTCACGGATTTCATTGGAGCTAAACTCCTTGTAATATAGTAGAGGGTGTTTAGTCAAATTTTGCCAAAAATGATTTAATATGCTTTAGGTCAATACCTAGCAATGATCTGAAGAGGCTAACTGATTTATTGGAAGGAGACATCATCATTAGGTACTAGCGTTACATTGACTTATTATTATTATTATTGTTATTTATTATTATTATTATTATTATTATTATTATTATTATTATTATTATTATTATTATTATTATTATTATTATTGTGTTTGTTTCTTTAGATCAATTCATGATGTTAAAGCCACTGATTTAGGTACAAAGAGGATCTCATTGTGTATTATTAGTAACATCATCATCATCTCTCTCTCTCTCTTTCTCTCTCCCTCTCTCTCTTTTTGCAGGTCCTGACTCCGTTCGGTTCAAAGCTGAAGTTAATTTTGACGGGCGAGAGGTGACGAGACTTCACTTACAGAAACTGGACCTTGAGAGGATTCTAAAAGTACTGATGATCCATGATAATAATTATTAATATTGCTTTATTATTATTAATTAGGATATACAGGGTTACACTACAGTGACTGAGCTTGAAAGGTTTCTGCTGGAACATGGCGAACAGGTAGTTGATAAATTAGGGTCTGAAGTTGACAGAATTGAAATGAAACTTAAAGTTAGTCAAATATATTTATTATACATGTACATGTACAAGTTATTAATTAAAGTTAATTTAAATTGTACAAGTACTGTTTAAGATTTCGCGGATTTTGTAACGCCATAAAATCACGTGATTATAATTATCGGTTTTTATTTATTTATTTATTAGAAAGATAATCCTGAGATAAGACACGTTGATTTAGAAATTCTTTAAAAACTTAATCAATCACACACACACACCCATCAGTCTAATTATTATTCATTATCTAAATAATTCAATAACTATTCATTAATTATATTACGCTGGTTAATGGGTGGGGATTATTGTAAGCTCCACCTACTGCAGAATCACCATTGATATGCACGTTCTTTGTAAAACAGAAAATATAAGAGTAAAACTATGATTTGATCCTTTATTGTGTATAAATTTGTAATAAAGAGAGCTAGTATCATTATTAATTATTACAAAGCATTATTATAATTTCAATAATCATGAGGACCAGTTTAGTTTAAAAGTGAGTTTTAGAGTCGACGTTATCATAAACCTCTTCAACTTTCATTTGATTGTATGACTCATTCAGTATCATATCCTACAATGAAGTAATTATCATTAAAGCAGTTCTTATTATACATTAACATGTATGATAAGTTTTATCATGTACTTACATCATGACTTTCATCACTACCTGTCACTGTTTTTGGTTCATCATATTCAGATCCTACAATACCTGTACAATATTGCATACATTAATACAATCATCATCATCTCATCATGACTATTATTTTTATTATAATAGATAGTTGATTATTAGTATAATTAATAATTGAGTGTTAAACATTACTATCATTAAGTCTTCTTTCACTCCTCATACCATAAGCTGGATTAATAGCTACATTAATACACTCTGTATAACAATGATACAGTTATGATGTGTCATTGCTTAAGGTTCTTACTGTTCTTTCCTCCAATGATCCCGTATGCAGGATTGCTAGATATGTTTGATACTATACATTTACTGTCAATATCTGCTACATTCACTTCTTAATGATAACAATTATAATATAAAAGTAATTATTATGATGATAGCAATCACCTATTGTTTGATGATGGACATCAGTATCAGTATTGAGAGGATTGCTTGATCCTCTCCTCCTACACACTAATACACTCACTATTAATATTACTAGTATAGTAACTACCAGTAATATAAATACTGCACCAATACTTCCTACTAGTATTAGTGTATTACTCCCTGTGCTTTGATTAGGTGTACTAACTACTGGTCCACTAATCACTGATGCAGCAGTACCACTTGATGTTGTAGTTTCTGTATATTTCATTGATTCTGTTACAGTGAATCTGGAACTGCTTGTAGAAATGCTGAACAGTGTAGTAGTAGATATTCTAGTAACTATAGGAGGAGGTGTATCTGTAAATATAATGATTATGAGTATATAATAAATATAAAGGAATACTGACTTATTGTGGTACTGCTAGTGGTTGATGAAGCCACTGTGTTAGGAATAGTAGTAGTGGAAGAAAGCTTAATAGTTGTTGAAGAGGTTGGACCTTAAAATATAAGTTGTTATAGACCATACACTAATCATTGTATGAACTTACCTACTACAACTGATATCAGTGGATAGTCATTATGTTCCAATGGTACTAATCCATTACTACTATCAAGCTGATAATTCAATGGTCCATTGTATTGTTGATAATACATTGGATTACTATTAGTGGTTACATTGATTACTAATATATCTCCATACTGTACTTCAATATCACTTGTAAAGAGATATACATTACCATTACTTGATGTAGCAACAGAAGCATCAACAGTTAGTGCATGAATCAGTTCAGAAGAACGTTTTAAATAAATGTTAGGATAATGTTTGCTTGTATCCTGATTCTGTGTAATACCAATTATCCAGTTAGTAATAATACCATTACATGTGAACTGTATATCAGGAAAAGCTCTTGTATCATTGACTGGTATTACATTAGTAACTGATAGACTGTTTGTATTAAATGAACTTTTAATTGGAGGATAACTGCACCTGCTACCTATAAATGCATTAAAATAAAAAATACATTTCATTAATGACATATATACCTAATGTAATTGGATATATTAATATACTTGAGTTTTGTAATACTATTTGACCATCATCGGAATTTTTGTCAACATCATCACTTTCAAGATTAGCTACTCTTCCAATTTGACCAGTTCCAGTTACTTTATAAAATCTAACAACACTTCTATCATCAGGAGGTTGATATACTCCTAGTCTGTAATTTTTCTTATCTTCCTTGATGTTCAAAGGAGTAGGTAGTGTAAAACGATACAGTCCATTGGTAGTGAAATTGTGTGGAGATAGTCTAAGTTCAACAGATACTGGGTTTCTGTAATGATATCGACTTTCTCCCCATATCTCTATTCTAGGATATTGGTTCCTATTACCAGTTACAGGTCTAATGTCAACTCCAACTAATACTTCAGTCAGTAGTCTGCCCTCATCGTCAATACAATGAATCTTCTTATCTCCTTCAGTGATGATCCATCTTGTTTCTACTGATTCTGCTAGTCCTGCAGTAGTTTGTCCATTGTTGTTAGTACTACCAGTTTTAGCCTCCAGTAAACTTAATTCCATAAATCCTTCAGTACTACAATCATTAGACTGTACTGTACCATTTAACAATAGCAACAATAGAGAAAGGAGAGAGAGAGAATTTGAAAGACACATCTCTGCTGTTGTTCAATGGTGAACTACATCCTGCCCTATATAGATTAATTTTCACGAGTGGGCGGTATATTAATGGTTCTGCAGCATGTACTGCAGTGATATTGTTTATCATGCCTGCATCATGTAGTCCAGACATGACCCATGCACAGTGAGTTTAAGTGTAATTGATAATTAGCTGATCAATATTTAGTGTTTTGTCTGGAAATGTTTGCAAATTACAGTGTTAAATGCATTAATTGCTTTGATCATATTTTATTTTGTGGATTTTGTGTAAACTTTCAGTTGCCAAATTGTGAGCTATAAACCCGTTGTTTTTGACAAAATTTTGAGCAACTTTGAAATTCATTGAAAAGTCTATATTATGAATTAATAAATTCATAAAGATCTTATGATGTATAATAATTCCTGTATAATCCTTGTACAGTTATTATCAAAGTGACATTGTTAGTCATTATAAAAGTGTCCTCAATACCAGTAATATGAGATAATGTGTATTACTATTAACTATATTATTAAAAAGTACAATAATTATTACTATACTGACATCATGTCATTATTATTATTTTTTCTGTTAGATGTACTGTTCATCTTCTTCCTCTTGTTCATTGAACATCATTGTTCTTGGTTCATCATATACTAATGCTTCTTCACCAATACCTGTAATAATTCAATACAATATGTCACACTATATAGAGCATAGTATTCACCACACATTAACAATACTCTCCTATTGATCCATACACACTATATACATGTACTTGGTTCATATATGCATACTTTCTATTCCTTCTCTGTTGTGAATACCATAGGCAGAATTAGCAGATACACCAGATTCTATTAATAAATGTCATTAATGATAATGTATGTATTGTTTTATAGTCCATCTTACTTTGACCAGTAACTCCATAGGCAGGATTAGTTGATGTTGTTAATGTATTCTGTCCTTCGTTCATTTTTATTGCTATATACCAGTAAATTGTAATGATATTAATGTACATAAAAATAGTTTCAATTACCATCTGATTGTTGATGTATATCAGCTTTACTTTCAGTAGAACTGACAGAATCATTTCCAATTGATTTTTTATACAATCTTCTCCTACACACTAATGCACTCACTATTAATATTACTAGTATAGTAACTACCAGTAATATAAATACT